CTCGATTGTATATATATATATATATAGATACAGGCCTATTTTTAGTTTGTTTTTGTCTTCTCGCTTGTTGCTTCCAGCTCGACAAAAGGGAAGACATACTCCAGAGATTAGCCTGACAGATTTAGGACAGTGGCGGTCTAGTATCCTACTTCCCACACGACGCTATGTTTTCACCGTAGGTTGTGCAATACTTGAATTCTCATCTCAGCCATAAGCTGACGTCACACAACCGCTCAATACCAGGTGTGGAACAGTTTGTTTGTTTTGTAACATTATAACATCCCCCACCGCTGAACGGGCAAGCATGTTTGATGAGACGGGGATTCGAACCCGCGACCCTAACATTATGAGTCGAGTGCCCTAAACACCTGGCCATACCAGGCCCCGGGTGTAAACGCTCTATAATTAAATCAAACTATAAAATTAAATGGAACGTTTAACTACAGACCGTGTCGCGAGCAGTCACTACTAAAATTTCTTGTAGTTTTGAAAAACTAAGCACAGCCATTTTTTATATACCATTACAAAACCGGCTAAAAATCTGTGTACCAATAAAAAAAACGGTTTGTGTTCTAGTACAAACTAGTTAAATTTGCCAGAACAAGTGGTTGAATATAACAAGGTAGTATCTCCCCCAGTGGCCCAGCGCTAAGTCTGAAGGCTTATAACATTTAAATCTGGGTTTCGATACCTGTTGTGGGCACAGCATAAATAGCCCCGTGTGTAACTCTGCGTTTAACAACAACAAACAATATAGCAATAAAAAGCGAAGATTCAAAGGTCACGTGATCCACGGTGTATTATCAGTTTTAAATTGGAGATTAAACTAATGAATGAGTCAGATAGATCATTGAATGATTGCCCTCCAGTGGCACGGCGGTATGTCTGCGGACTTACAACGCTAGAATCCAGGTTTCGATACCCGTTCTGGGCAGAGCACAGATGGCTCATTGTGTAGCTTTGTGCTTAATTCCAAACAAACAAACATTTATCACGTAGTCCCCTAGTGGCACAGCGGTGTGTCTGCGGACTTACAACGCTAGAATCCAGGTTTCGATACCCGTTCTGGGCAGAGCACAGATGGCTCATTATGTAGCTTTGTGCTTAATTACAAATAAACAAACATTGAATGATTAGACTAAAATCCTGACTTTTTATGCCTATCTGTATTTTGTTTACTGATTGTTTGTTTGTTTGTTTTGAATTTCGCGCAAAGCTACACCAAAGCTATCTGCGCTAGCCGTCCCTAATTTAGCAGTGTAAGACTAGAGGGAAGGCAGCTAGTCATCACCACTCACCGCCAACTCTTGGGCTACTCTTTTACCAACGAATAGTGGGAATGACCGTCACATTATAACGCCCCCACGGCTGACAGGGCGAGCATGTTTGGTGGGACGGGGATTCGAACCCGCGACCCTCAGATTGCGAGTCGAGCGCCCTAACCACCTGGCCATGCCGGGGCCCTTTTTAAGTAACTCCTGCAATTTGTCTGTTCCTATAGAATATAAAGATCGAAGTTCCCGAAAGATTAATAGATAAATGAAATATATGCTTAACTGAAATAGATATTGAAGAATTCAATATGTCTACATGGATTTGTTTTTAAGTTGTTCTTTGTTTTGAATTTCGCGCAAATCTACTCGAGGGCTATCTGCGTCAGCCGTCCCTAATTTTGAAGTGGTAGACGAGTTAGAATGTAGCTTGTCAACCCGCCGCTAACTAGTGGGCTACTCCGATTGAAAATTGGGATTATACGGCCACTCTTATAACGCACCCACGGTCCCAAAGTGCTCAGTACGATTTTCTTTTGTCGGTAGCGGGGACGCGAACCAGGAACCTTAGATCCACAGTCCGGCACGCTCGCCACTGGACTTGGAGTTAAAAATAGATGTATTGTTGTTGCTTTACAACCTGAACGGCACTCTATGTATTGCACGGGCTAAACGGTCAGGTCAAAGACACCTAGGGTTTAGTTATAGCTCTTCTAATCTTGTATTACTGGCCAAAATGACGAGA